TGAGCCCAGGAGTTGGAGATTGCTGTGAGCTATGATGCCATGGCACTCTACCCAGGGGGATAGCTTGAGGCTCTGTCTCAAAAAAAAAAAAAAATTAAAAAAAAAAAAAACATATTTGGAAAAAGACCCTAATGGATGCCACACCGTGCCCTTGGCAGACATCACTCATTAGTCGTGGTATGATTTCCTATGGTTAGCCTCAAAATCCTTAAGAGTCCCTCCACATAATTGATCCGAATTGCCACTTGAGATAAAACCTATTTTTGTTAAGTGCCTCCCCTCAATCAATTGGGGAGGCAAAGCTGACGCACGCACAATATTCTTGGCAAGCCTTTTGGGGTGTCATATAACCAGGTGCAAAGTGGTGAGACAGACAGAGATCCTGAGTCCAGCAGGAGTTCTTTGAAGAAAATATAACTAGTGGAGTCTTCATAGAAGTGCTAAAGAACCATTATAGCCTGATTTGAACTCAGTAGATGGAGTAGGGAGGCGGCAACCCCAGCTGCCCACTGCAACCAACTGGGCAGCTTTTAAACTGAGGCTGCCCAAGCCCGTCCCAGACAAAGTCAATCAAGCCTGAGCATCTGTGTTTCTTTTAAAGCTCCCTGGATTTCTAAAGTGTAACCGAGTTCAAAGCCATAATCACTAGGCACAGGGGAGGCCGGGAAGGGGCACCTGCACTCACCTTCTCCGCCTCCAGCATGTTTCCCAGGATCGTGTGCATGCAGCCGATGTTGAAGCAAATCCGGGAGTGGGGGTCTTGGACTGCGCTGAAGGCGTCCAGGGCCCCCTTCCAGTCCTTCTTGTCGGCTGCCAGCACCCCTTCATTCCAGAGGCTGATGACCTCAGCCAGGGCCATGGTCAAGTGGAAAGCTAGAGGCTGAGAGAGCTGCCAGGAGAGAAGAGAGGACGGCCTGGGTGTCCCCCCCAGCACACTGTCCCGGTGGCCCCCCGGTGTTCACCTTCCAGGCCTGGTGCCAGAATGGGGCCCAGCCTCTCTTAAGACAACATCTCAGTGTTGCAAAGGCATCAGGAAATGTCCCCACCTTTGGGCAACTGACCTAACCCTACCTATCTCTACCCTGAGGGAGAAAAGGAAAGAGAAAGAGGCTGGTGGGGGCGGAGTGCGGAGGAGAGAGGAAGTACAGCAGATGCTGGCTGGATGGATCAGTTCCCCAAACTGCTTCTGCTCTGTCCCCAGACTCTTCCTCTCTGTCTCCCACCCTCCTTCTGCCCCCAGACGCGGGTGACCTTGGCAGCTCCGTGCGTCTTGCCAGGCATCGGTTTCCACACCGCGTTATGTGAGGGTGCTGGAGAGCATAGGTCTTTCCAGTCTCACGTGGATGCCTCCCTCACTTTCTCATACTCCCTTACACTAAATTGACACGTTGGGTTTTATCAGGAGCTAAAATTAGTAATTCACAAGTTTTTGAGACAGGATGGTCTCAGTTGTCCATCTGAGTCTGAAATAAATTTTATGAACTTTGTGGAAGTTTAGAGGAGACCAATTTCCTACAAATGCCAAGATTGGGGGCATTTGCATATGACAGTGAGTTAGGACTTCTCCCGAAGCGATGATGGGCCTGCATTGACAACTAATGAGTTTACTAGTCTCTGACAAAACCAATTTAAGATTCTTTTCCTTGTTGCTTTGGAAAAGTGTATGTCAGTAAAACCTCCCTGAGGAATAATTAAGGATACTGGGGGTAGCCAATTTGATTTACTAGAATCCTCGCTTCTTGTTCGGTAAAAATGCATGTGTATGAGCGTCAAATACTTGGATGTGAACTCTCGCTTTGTAGCAACTAAGCAGACTCATTCATTACCACCAGACTTCCCCTAAAAGCCTGGAAATAAAACTTAAAAATGTATACTCCACAGGGATCGTAGGTTTGAAGGTATGAGAATTAAGAAGACGGGTACGTGTGTCCTTACACAGACCATTTCTTGTGTTTAGAAGTCCATTCCACCTAACTTTTTGCCAGGCAAACTCCTACTCATCCTTCAAGGCCCTTTTGTTGTTGTTTTTGTGACAGATTTGCTGTCAGGCCAGCTAGAGTGCAGTATTGTGATCATAGCTTGTGATACCTATTGTGTGATAGGTATTGTGCAGTATTGTGATCATAGCTTGTGATAACTATTGTGATACTATTGTGATCATAGCTTGTGCAACCTCAAACTCCTAGACTCAAGCAGTCCTCCTGAGTAGGTGAGATTACAGGCCCATGCCTGGGCAACATAGGGAGGCACCATCTCTATAAAAAGGAAAAACTTGAATGACACATTAATTATTCCTAGGAAAGATAAGTAGATTCATAGCTAAGTTAGACTTATTTAAAAAGTCTTCTTTCCTTTGTGTTTATTATCCTACCTAACACTCAGAATGCTCCTTCGTCTGACCTCCAAGACTTTTTCTAGCCTGGTCTCCCCAACGATTCACAATTCCACAACTGTACTGCTTGCTCTTCTCCCCCGTGCCTTCATTTCCTGCATCTGTGCCTTACCTCAGTCTAGACCCTCCTCCTGGGCTGCTCTTTCCCATGTCTGCACCTTCAAACCACTTTGTACACCCTTAGTGCCCTGCCCAAGTATCAGTGTCACCTTCCTTAAAATGCTACTCTCCAGTGCCTCCCCCAAACCTCCAAACCCATGATCTCACCTTTTTCTGAACTCCTGCATCTCCTTCTCTACACCTCCCCCATGGCCTTTAATTACTCTTCACCAGGTTAGAGTTGTGTGTCTCAGCACCTCAAATAGACTGTACACTTCAGGAGGAAGTCTCAGGATTAAACCATTCTTGTATTCCCCAGGTACTAGCAATACCGTTCATGTTGGGCTCTGTCCACGTTCCTTTGCCTTTCATGGGGCCACCCAGGGCAAACCACCCTCATCTTATGGGCTAACATTCTAGGCTCCAAAGATCTCCTTGCCCCTCCATCTAGATTGAGCTTTGAAAACACAAAGCAGGAAGAATGGGGGTCTTTGATGACATAATTGAGCCATTAAGTCAATTAGTTCTGGAGACTGCCTGGTCTCTAGACCTTTTGTTATATGACATAATAAATGTCCATATTTACTAAGCCAAAAAAAATTAATGGAATTCTTTATCAGTAAAGAAAAAACACCACAGGCCAGATTACATCACGCCCCCTGTTTAAACATTCAGTGGAGGCTCGGCGCCTGTGGCTCGACCGGCTGGGGCGCCAGCCACGTACACCTGGGGTGGCGGGTTCGAATCCCCCGCCAGGACCCAGAAAACAGTGACGGCTGCAACCAAGAAATGGCCGGGCGTTGTGGCGGGCGCCTGTGGTCCCAGCT